AGGTAGATGTATGCCAGGCGCGTCGCAGCGTAACAGTGTTTCGTGAGATATCGCGAAGCCTGTTACGCGAGACGTGGTCTGGCGTACATCTACCTTGTATTTGTTTACGAACGCGTTTTCAGAGCCAAGGATCATGGGTTGCCCCAGCCAGGGCGTCGACCGAGCTTGAGAGGGCCCCTGGCCCCCTTGAACCTCCGCCGTCGCCCGCCCACAGCGTTCACAGCGAGGACGGGTTGGCAGATGTAAGTTGCTATGACGTCCACCTCAACATCATCTGTGTGGTGCAGTTTCTTATAAAAAACGTTGTTCCAGTATCACCTAATGTTGCACAGGGCATCGCCCCTACCTAACCAGCTCTTATGGCGTCCGCCGACGCCATACCCCGAGCGGGATCTGGAGGAGCTTGTTGACGCGGCCTCGAACCTTGTTGCTGAGCCCCCCGCAGCCCTCCCGGCTCCCTATTTGATTCCGGGGCCAGCAATCATTCATGAGGAGGAGCCATAAGTGGCCCCCCTCGACCTCACCCCCCCCCCCTCTCGTCATCAACATCTCTGACGACGAGGTAAGTTTCAACACACACTCTTTCTTCAATGCCATAGTCCAGTGGAGAGACGAGTGTCTAAGCAGATGTGATTGTTACAGGATGATGAGCCCCTGGCCCAGGCCCAGGCACAGGAGCCTGCCGCCGCCGTGGCCTACTGGCCGCAGTGGCATAAGCCTGAGCCACACCAAGAGGCACCTGTGGACTTAAGGGAGAGGATCACCCAGCTGCGGGCGGCGAGGCACGGTGCACCCCAACCCGCGAGACTGCAGCCATGGCTATCAGCGTCACCACGCTGATCTATCCCGCCCCGCCTCGGCCGGGCACACGCTTCGGCCACGCACGCGCGCCAACGGCCAGCGCAGCGCCGGGGCAACGCTGGAGATAGTAGTTATGCGTGCCGATTAAGAGCACCATTTATTTAGATATCAATGCAGTACGCTGGAGCGGCGTCTCCCCGATCACAGTGAAGTCAGTCTAGTTTTACCCCTCAAACCGTTCGGTTCGGACCACGCTGGTCGTGGGCCCCTGTCCGCCGTTAGGTTGGACTATAGAGTCGAGTCCGTTAGGGCCAATAGTGAAAGTGCAAGTGTAGATACCTACCCCGGTGTGTCGAGCCAGTGCTGCAACAGTTAGTAACTTGGAGTCTCATTATTTACGAACCCCGTACAATAACTATCCGGAGTGAGCAAGGAGTGGACAAGTGTGTGCGAGATATACATTACCGAGCCTGTGACCATCAGTGGGCCCGCGTCGCCGAGTGCCAACGTAGGCGACCACATCCACACCCAAGGCAGAACGGCTGCCTACCCAGCGTGCGCCGAGTGCATCGGCGCGCCACCACCTGTCCCGAGCCGCGCAGACAGCGTCAGCAAACCGGACATTACAACAGACTACAACCCTCCAGCTACAAATCCGATACCGGAATCCAACACCACAAAGACTGATATGGCGCTCGCAGGCCCCAGCATCGGGGCGGGTAGCTATTGTGGTATGTACATCTCCTCTCTCTTAATGTGAATTGATATTGAGTCTCATTCGGCCTACTAACACAGTTCTTTTTTTTGTTTCAGATTCCACTTCCCAGGAACCAATAGTTCGAATGTTCTTCTTCGGTTTTATTTTTTTCGAAAAAAATAAAATCAGGATAGCAAATTTTCCTACGTTTCATTTATCAATCCCCCCTTCGCCTGAAGTGCGGAAAGAGTTTGTCTTAATGTTGAGCAGTCACTTATATGTAATTTAAACTTTGCTTTTGTTTTTCCACACAGAAAACAATGTTTTCTATTGTAGAATCACAATTAAGTTGTGACAAAATTATTTGAAGCCTTAGACGATACAATTTTTTAAGTATGATCATCACGATTTGGTATGACGATTGGATTTGAGTTAAAGAGAGGTCACCTACACTTAGTGAATCAACAATACTATCATCAACAACATCAATCAACAATACTATACAACTGCGCTCCCACAGACTGACTCATTGATATAAATGTTTGGCCTCGACCACAACTGCTACAAAAACGTACCATACCTTTTTGGATACCCCATTCGAACCCAGAAAAACCTCCACCTCCATCGTTGGACCTCACTGGGGGCCGTTCAAGGGCCGACTAAATTATGGTTGCGTGGGAGAAAAAAACAAGTCCAAAAAACTCGCCATTTTTTTATGGTCTCCTAGGGGGTAACTCATCATTTTGGCACCCAAGATAAAAATTTCGTCCGCGGGGCTCTCCGACGCACCGTTTTGGCGCTAGGCCATGCTTTGTAATAAAGTTGTCTAAAGCTGTAACATGGGGTGTGTTGGAGGAGGTAAATTGTCATTTTGCGACCCTTAGGGCGGAAATTTCGTCCGTTTGCGCCTCCAAAGCACAGTTTTCCCGCCAGGTCCAGTTTGTCGTCGAATTTAATGAAAATTGCTCAGACGCGCCAATCCAATGGCGAAATACGTCGCTTGAACTCAAAATAGCATAAAACAAAAGTTGTGGATCCCCTTTTTCGAAACCACGCCATTAAGCAGATGCTCCGACACATGAGAAACTGCGCTTGAAACCACCCAAACACAAACAACCCCACCCCCCTCGCTCTGGGCCCAAGCTTTTCCAAAAGATGTAACAAGCAGGCCCGCCCTTCCGCCTCTAGGGCCGAAACAGTAAAGGATACGGCTAATCCGAGGGTAGTTCCTGATTCAGAATGTGTTGTTTTTGATTGTTTGTTTGTTTGTTT